TGGGGAGTTCTGGGGTCCATCATCTACCAAAGGAGTTTTCTACCAAAATAGAATAAAGGACTTTTCCCAATTTGCTAGACAAAATTAAGATAATGGATAGGATTTTCTGCATTTTAAGTTTTGACTCAATTTTCCTTTTCTAAAATCTTTGGTGCCTGCTAGTGCTTATCTGCTAGCAAATGCAAGCAAATAAAATAAACAAATCAGAAAAACAGTAAAAGAAACCACACATTATAGTCGATGAAAATGAAGAAAAAAAACTGGAAACAGCGAATTCTCATGAATCTGACAGTGTGGGGTTTTTTTTATATATCTAGTGCTCATGGTTGTGATTTTGTATGGTACACATATAATATAGTTATATTTCCTAACAAGTAAATCGTTTCTAGCTCACGATGACAGAATTAATTATGCCTATAACTTTCTGTGTGGCTTCTAGGTGCTTTGCCCTAGAACAAGCTGAGAACGCACCACAATGAATTACTATCTCAATTTACAAAAAAAAAATCGGAGGCCCAGAGAAATTCAGTAACTTGACCAAGGTCACTCAGCTAGTGAACAATGAAGTAGGGTTTAAACAGTTCTGAGGAATCCCGCATACCACCCCATTGGGCCTCCCGGTGAGATAAGATGTGTAATCTGATGGGAGATAAGAATGGCTTTTCCAAGTACCCAGAGTCTATTGGTGAGAAACACCGGACTCTTGGTTGACTGTCCGTTGGGTTCATAAGCTTTACTTGTCAATCCGAAGCATAAAACAAATTAGTATAAAACTCATTATCCAGTGCATTTGTCATAAAAAGTGACTGGTGTTTTGTTTTGTTGGTATAAGTCTTAGGAAGGTTTTGCCAGTACTTTATTGAACCGTTGTATTAGATATACCCTATTAGATATTCACGCCCCCTAGCCAGAGCACAAACTGTGCGTGAAAGTTGTAGTTCTTATCTTTTATCTTAGCTTAATTAGTCATCTTAACTAATTCTGTTCTGGAGTGGCCGTGGCCAATCTTGCATCCATTTAGCTTTAGGTAAAGTTAGAAAACTAAATCAGAGGGGCTCTTCCATCTTAGCTCTCTTCAGAAGGTGACTGATTTTTCAAACTTGTGTACTAATTCTCTTGTGTGCATTGCATTAGGAAGGTTGACTCAAAGTAAAATGAAAACGTCCTAGGGCTCTGCCTTCTCAGACTGGTTAGCGTTGTGAATGACTCTGGAACGGGGCTGCATCCTGGAGCACCCAAAACTCAGCACCACATTTTATGGAGGGGAAGGCTCCCACTCACGCTCTCCCCAGCCAGCCTGTCCTCCCCGAGGTCAGCCGCCTCCTCCCCTGACTGTCCTGAGCGCTGTTCACACCTATGAAATGCATTTTCACTTCCGTAGCTGATTCTCTCCTTCGTAAAAAGGAGAAATATAGAGCCAGAGTCAGAACATGCCTCTTATCTCACCTGGCCCCTGCGGGCCAGCTGGCAGCCTGTGGGAACTGGGCTCTCTGCCCCGTGGCCCTCCCCTGCTGAGTACATTGAGGCCAGGGCATATTGAAGAGCTCTCCCTCGGTCACTCCTCAGGAACTGCCAAGTGTCATCAATTAAGAGAAAGGATCGTAAAGGGGGTCAGAGAGAGGGTTTATGAGCTTCTCTTATTACTGGCTCTGTCTCAACTGAGTATGAGCCACAGAGCCATCTCCCTCCAAGTGATTCCCGCCAACTGTTGACTGCCCCCATGTCCTATCTGGCCGCAAACCCCTTCCAGTTGTGGGTACCTCCCATGGAAAGTGGCTTTACCAAGCCTGGGTCTCACCTAGGTTCTGATGCCAATTCTTGCTTCAGGCTTGGACAGCTCCAGGACTCTCCTGACTCAGGCCCCTAGACACTCCTTCACCTCTGGGCAGTCCACCCACAGACCCACTACTTGCCCTCTCAACCACTTCCTCCTCCCCCTCCCAGGTGTTCTCTTAGACCTCAAGGAAAAACTATTAGAATATGGCAGGTGGATCTTGGCCACTGTTCCTGGGCCCTGGTCCTCTCCTCCAGAGCTGCAAAACAGGCTGTCATGTGTCCTGCTTGGAAGGGACCCTCTATTTTCCCTGCATTACATATGCTGGGGGATGGAAAACCTAGCCAGAAGCCAGGGCATTCAACCCCCACCCAGACTCCAAGTCCTGACCACGTGTTCAAATCTGACCCTGCTCTCTGTCCCCACCCTGGTGCCTCAGGTCTCCATTGTTTTTCATCTGGCCGACCCTCCCCTCTTCAGCCCCTACTAGATCGGCCTTTCAGGAACCCAAATTGGATCACAGTGCTCCCCTGCTAAACACTGGTTGGCAAAAACCTGTGAGATAGGCTTTTACCTTCACCTGGAGCGGCCTTGGCCATGAACCCAGCCCCATCTGCGGATTCAGCCTTATCTGGGCCCCTCCCTAACAATCCCTGCACTCCAACCTGTCAAACATCTTGTTCTTTGTTACCAGAACACTCCACGCACCTTTGCACCTGCCATTCTGTCTACCTATCCTTCTAGAAATGTTCTGCTCATCTTCAAAGTGCAGCTCAAAGTTCTCCTCCTACATGAAGCCCTCTCTGACCAACTGTCTTAGCCAGCTCAGGCTGCCATAACAAAAATACTACAAACGGGGTGGCTTAAATAACAGAAATTAATTTTCTCACAGTTCTGGAATGCTGGAAGTCCAAGATCAGGGTGCCAGGATGGCTGGGTTTTCGTGAGGACTTTCTTCTCTGGCTTGCAGACACCGCCTTCTCCATGTGTCATCACAGGGTGCGCTCTAGCCAGAGAAGTGGGGAGAGAGAGAGAGATCTCCCTCTCTTCTTATAAGGCCATCAATCCTATCAGATTAGGACCCCACCCTTATGACCGCATTTAACCTTAATCACTTCCTTAAAAAAAAATTCCAGATACAGTCATATTGGGGGTTACAGCTTCAACGTATGACTCTAGGGGGACACAATTGAGCCCATGACACCTCCCCAAATAAAGTCGGTTGCTACATCCTCCAGAGCCCCATATTCATCAGGGCAAGGCATCCCTTCCTCACACAGCACATCGATCCTTCGTTCCCATTTGGATCTCCCAACAGGCCTTCGATGAATTAATGGACAAAGTCCCTCTGCCCAGTCCCATTCCCTACTCTTTTGGTGTCACCTACTCTGTAAGGAGGCCCTGGTCTCCCAGTAGACTGTGTGATGACTTTCTCTTGTCGCCCCAACTGTGCCTGGCGCTCCAAGAGGGCAGGGGCCCACTTCTCACCCATCTATGGGCACTGAGCACATGGCACAAAGCAGGCCTCAGGGGAGAATTCTGGGTTGGCTCTGGGAGGACCTGTGGCCCTGGGTGTAGGCCCCCTTGGGTGCCTCTCTCATCCCCACACGCCCTATTGACAAGGCCTGATTCCAATGTTCCCCCAGCCCTGGGAGCCTCTGCGGTTTCCTCGCATCCTAAGAGAAGACACTTCTGCTCCAACCCTGGGCAGGAGACCAGGTGTATATGTTAGGAACAGGACACTTCCTTTAGCCTTCTCTTTGCCCCTACATTGGGACTGCCGTCGTTCTCAGCACTGCAGAGAAAATTAAAATCCCCCTCCCAGTTTCCAGGTTTCCCTGCAGGCTCCACAGGTGCTGGAGTATAAATGGGTCCTACATCTGGCCAAGAAAGCAGCTCCTCAGGCTCACATAGGTTATTTAGCTAATGTATCTACTTTTACTTCCAGTCCAAAACCATCAAGCTAAAAATATCTTGTGTCTGAGCTCTGGACCAAAAAATGAAGCAGTTTGGATCATTCATCATTGAAGATATGTTGAATAGGAACTTGATTCAAGCGGTGTGCGTTCCCCCAGTAGAAACTGCTTCTTTGCTGTGGCCACGGCGGTGTTTTTGCGCTGGGCCTCCTTGACAGCTCCTGGGTGGGTTGTGGTGCCTTGCCAGGCCTTGGAAGGCCAGTGTCTGGGAGAGGGTCTTGACCAGTTCAGCCCTGCGGTTCTCAGGCAGGCACACCTCCATCCAGCACCCAGGCAGCATTTGGCTTCAGCATAGGACGTAGTGAGGGCGGTGGGAATAGGGATGGAGGCAGGAATGGGCCCAGGAGGCCCCCTGCGAGCTCGGCTGTCGCCGCGAACCCCATACAGAACGCGCGAGGCGCCACGTGGCTGAGGAGGAGTCGTGCTGCCATAAACCCCTTTCCAGGGCACCAGTGAGTGCGGAGGCGGCGCAGTGCCCAGGGGGCACCCGAGTTTGGCCACCTTGTTCCCCAGGAACGCGCGACCTCAGCGCCCTGCGAACCACCCAGCTGGTTTCTCACAGTAGGTGCTCCGACCCTGGGCCTCCGAGACTCCGAGGCGGGGGTTCCCTCGACATCCCCGCTCCCACCTTGGAGCCCACCTGAATTGGGTGTAGGGGAGAAGGCAGTGGATTCCAACCCCGTTGACAGCCAGGTCCGCTTCGGGATCCCCTGTCCGGAGGCATGTTCGCCTCCTTTGCGCTCCCCCTCGCTCCGGTACCCCAGCCCCGGAATCCAACTCCGCCCATTGCACAGGAAAAAATTGGCGGCCCTGCGCGGAGTAGCCGCACCAGCCCCGCGCGCCTAGCAACCCTAAAACTCCGTCTAGGAGAAGTAATTAAAAAGAAAGTTTTCCAGCCCAAGCGAACAGACCGAACAGGTCCTCCAGGCTCCCTGGCCGCGGCCTTCTCCTCTGCCCTCCGCTCCCCGCGGGGTCCTAGCGCCCGGCGCTCCTGAGCCCGTAGGACTACGAAGTACTGCGAGAGGCGGAGCGGTTCTTCTGCACGGAATCTGTGGGGTCTCCTGTAGATCAGAGAGAAAGACGAAAAGTCACCGCGCTCCGGACTTGTCGGTGCGGTGGTGCGCGCTAGGTCATACCTCCAAAACGGTTCCCTGTCCCCCACCCCCACCCGGTCCCCGCCTCTTGTCCCCGCCGCCGCTTTCCAGAGACCCTGATCCCGGACAGGACGGGTTCTAACTTTTCACAGTAGCTCAGAGACGAAGACTTGCCCTCCACCACCACCCCCACCTCCCTACGCGGCGGCTGGGTGCTCTTGGGCTCCCTGGCCGTTGGCTGGAAGTGGGTGTCTCGAGAAGGCTAGAAAAGAGGGGCCCGCCGCCGACCACGTGTGCGTGGGGGCGACAACTCGGCCGAGAGTGGGTCACAGCTCGCAGGTCACGGCTCTGCTCCTGGCGCAGGGGACACAGGGCACTGCGTCGCGGCCTCTCCCTGCAGCGCGGCGCTCCCGCCCTACTCGCGGTCCCCATCGGCAGGCAGGCGCTAAGACCCAGGAGGCGCCGCTCGCCGTCGCCAGTGGTCAGACACTAGAGGGCGATCGATGGCCACCCTGGTATAAATGCGGGGCCCGCGCGGGCCTGGCCATTCGCGACCCGGAGCTGCTCGGGCGCAAGCTAGCAGGGGCTCTTGGTGGGCGGCGGCGGCAGCGGCTCCCCGCGCAGCCTGGAGGCCGCCGAGGCTCGCCATGCCGGGAGGACTCTAGCTCCCCCATGGAGTCGGCCGACTTCTACGAGACGGAGCCGCGGCCCCCGATGAGCAGCCACCTCCAGAGCCCCCAGCACGCGCCCAGCATTGCCGCCTTCGGCTTCCCCCGGGGCGCGGGCTCCGCGCAGCCCCCCGCCCCACCTGCCGCCCCGGAGCCACTGGGCGGCATCTGCGAACACGAGACGTCCATCGACATCAGCGCCTATATCGACCCGGCCGCCTTCAACGACGAGTTCCTGGCCGACCTGTTCCAGCACAGCCGGCAGCAAGAGAAGGCCAAGGCGGCCGCGGCCCCCGCGGGAGGAGGCGGCGGCGGCGACTTTGACTACCCGGGTGCCCCACTGGGCCCCGGCGGCGCCGTTATGCCCGGGGGGGTGCATGGCCCCGCTCCCGGCTACGGCTGCACGGCGGCCGGCTACCTGGACGGCAGGCTGGAGCCCCTGTACGAGCGCGTCGGGGCGCCAGCGCTGCGGCCGCTGGTAATCAAGCAGGAACCGCGCGAGGAGGACGAGGCAAAGCAGCTGGCGCTGGCCGGCCTCTTCCCCTACCAGCCGCCGCCGCCGCCGCCACCCCACCCGCACCCGCCGCCCGCGCACCTGGGTGCCCCGCACTTGCAGTTTCAGATCGCGCACTGCGGCCAGACCACCATGCACCTGCAGCCCGGCCACCCCACGCCGCCGCCCACGCCGGTGCCCAGCCCTCACCCAACCCCCGCGCTTGGCGCCTCTGGCCTGCCGGGCCCCGGCGGCGCGCTCAAGGGGCTGTCCGCTGCGCACCCCGACCTCCGCGCGGGGGGCGGCGGCGGCGGCGGCGGCGGTGGCGGCGCCGGCAAAGCCAAGAAGTCGGTGGACAAGAACAGCAACGAGTACCGGGTGCGGCGCGAACGAAACAACATCGCGGTGCGCAAGAGCCGGGACAAGGCGAAGCAGCGCAACGTGGAGACGCAGCAGAAGGTACTGGAGCTGACCAGTGACAATGACCGCCTGCGCAAGCGGGTGGAACAGCTGAGCCGCGAACTGGACACGCTGCGGGGTATCTTCCGCCAACTGCCCGAGAGCTCCCTGGTCAAGGCCATGGGCAACTGCGCGTGAGGCGCGCCGCGGCGGGACCGCCCTGGGCCGGCCCTTGGCTGGGACCCAGAGAGTGGTTTCGGGTCTCTGGATCTCAAGACTGCCCGAACCGCGAAAGCCAGGACTAGGAGATTCCGATGCCATATGAAAGCCTGCCCTGTGGAGCATGCCCCTTGCCTTCTTCTGCGTGGGACACGGTGCGTCTAAGATGAGGGGTCAGGCAGTGGTTTCTCCCTGCAAGAAAGGAGAAGCGCCGTGGGGCCAGCCGCCGGGGAGCCTGGCAACTCTAGTATTAAGGAATAACCTTGTGCCTTGAAAATGCAAACTCACCGCTCCAATTCCTACCAAGTAGGGAGAGCAAATATGTGCCTTGTCATTTTATTTGGAGGGTTCCTGCCTCGTCCAGAGGCTGCAAGGCTACAGCAGGCCTCCATGAGAGGAGGAGTGCAGGCCCCCAGCAGAAGGAAAGTTAAGGGAGCAGAGATCTGACAAGCCAGCCCCAGGTTGTTCCCCTAGTTCTACATGAAGGTGAAGGGTCTCTAGTGCCTTGCCTCTAACCTCCCAGCCTGCAACAGGTTGGGATTCCAGGGCAGAACGCCCTGAGATGGGGGTCACCAGGTGACCAAAGGGAGCTCCCCACCCCCAGTCCAGACCAGAAAGCTAGGTGTGGGTTAGCTATAAGGACCTATGTTCATGGGAGTAGTGGTCTGGTGGAAGAGGGGAACCTAGAGGTCCGGCAGTCTGGGGGCTGGAGAAGGGGTGAAGGGACACTGGGACCTCAGCCATGTCTGTACTGTATGTCGCCAGCGTTGCCATACAAACATGAAGCACAGTCAGTCCATCCCAGAGGGACCCGAGTTATGAGAAGCTTTCCAAATATTTTGCTTTATCAGCCGATATCAACACTTGTATCTGACCTCTCTGTGTCCCAGTGGTGCCTTGTGCAATGTGAATGTGCACGTCTATGCTAAACCACCATTTTCTTTGGTTTTTGTTTTGTTTTGGTTTTGCTCAGATACTTGCCAAAATGAGACTCTTCGTCAGCAGCTGCAGGGAGGGTCTGTGGCTCTCTTTCCTTTTGGTTTTGGGGTTGCTTTTGCTCCCAGGGGAACCAAAGAGGCGAGGTGGGCTTTCCCTTTCCCCTCAGCTTTCCCCGGGGGTGGCTGTGGGCCTCAGTCCCCTCCAGCCCCAGGCTGCCCACAGGCTTGTCCCTGCAGAGGCCCTGGCTCCAGGTCTGGAAGGGGAGAGGCAGCCTCCAGCCAGCAGACACGGATCCCTGGGCCTGGGAGCAGGGAAGGACGGCTTGATTCTCTTCTTTGGGGGAGAATGTGGAGTTTCATGCTAGATGTTTTATGTATTATATCTATAATATAAACATATCAAAGTAAATTTTTGGTGTCTTTTTAAAACTAGAAAAGCTACTTCCAAGGTTTTCTGTGGGCCAGGTCACATTTGTAAATAATCACAGCATATTTTCTGGCTGAGATTCTGACTTTCATTCACTCTCCACCCATCCTGAGCCCCTCTTGAACATTAAGGGGGTGACTTCTCCCAACCAAGGCACATACATGGCAGGAGGGCAAGGCTCCAGACTGAGAATGCCAAAGCCTGAAGAGCCTCCTGACTGGTGTGTGTGTGTGTGTGTGTGTGTGTGTGTGTGTGTGTGTTGGGGGTAAGGGGGTCATAGGACCTTGGTGTGGCCTCTAATTGGCGCCTTGGGAGAAGAGGGACTCAGAGAGGGAGCTCTGTGCCTGAAGTTGCCACAGCCTCTTTGGACAGGCCTGGTCCAGCAGCACCAGGCTCCAGGGGCCCGCTGGCCACACTCACTTCCAGATCACTCACAGCCCCAGCTCTGCGGCAGCCTTGCTCACACCTGCCTTTGCCGCAGCCCACCAGCAAGATGCTGGGTGGGCAGGGACAGGCCTCAAACGGTAGGACCCTCCACCCCTCCCCACTTGCTCTGGGCCATGTGGCCGCAGCCTACCCCAGCGGGGCCCTGAAAGACAGCCTGAAGGCGAGCGCCCCTCCACCAGCCCGCCACACCTGCCCTGCCCCAGCCCACCCAGGAAGGGGGCCCACAACAGGTCTACAGAAGGTGTTGGGCCTTTCTCCACACCACCCAACATGAAGCCAGCGCCAACATCCGCCCTCCCCACGGTGCCCACCCTGGACCAAGTCCCCTACATGGACGACTGCCCTGTGAGGACAGGCGCCCCAGCACCCCTTTAACAGAAGTGATAGCCAACCAAAGGAGGCTGCACCCTGATGCCTATAAGAACAGGGCCTGGGAGGAAGTAACCCCAGGGCTTTCAGAGTTTATTCTCTCTGAGGGCAAAAGGCAAAACACTCTTTACCTTCTGTTTTCACCCCGAGAGTATTCACTCGAGCGGCTTATAGTATATGCCAATGTGGGCTGTTTCAAGAAATTACACATTCTTCATTCTTCTTAAATTCCGCAAGCTTTAGCTTTACCTGACTGCGTGGTTACAGGGGATGACTTGCCCCCGCCCCCGCCCCTCCCCCCAAACCCCGGTCTTACGTCTTGCTGCCTCCTCACCCATGGCCACCCTTGGCAGAGGAAAGGCCACGAGCCCAGTGAGGAGGCGGCAGCCTACCCGGCTGCCTGGGAACCAAGGAGGCAGAGCCCCACCGCCTGCCTAGAGGCCTAGGGCAGGCCACAGCTTGCTAGGCCCCAGCAAACCCTCCCTGAGTTCCGTGCTAATTCCAGTTTTTCTTGTTTGAGGGGGCCAAGCCTTGGCTTCCCCCTTTGCCCCCAGAACAGATCCCAGGACGAGAGGGGGAGGGGCACCCCTCCTGCCCTCACCCTTCCTCCTCCCCTCCCACTGTCCCACCGCCAGGGATTTCCTCTTTCAAAGCTGTCAGCTCATGGAAGGGCACCCCTCCGACTGCAGATCCAGAGGTCCAGGGCAGGCCGTGTTGAGGAAAAGATGGATCCAACCACAGCGAGTCCCAGAAAAGGGATGGGGTGGGTGGGAGCCACACTAGGGTAGGCAGAGCAGCCTGCCAGGGGCAGGGGGCATCATGGGGTGAACCTGCCCAGCATGTGTTCTGGGCCCAGCTCAAGAGGCCCCTGGGGAGAGCAGTTCCTTGCCACCTACTGCTTCCTGCAGAGCCCCCCACGGTTCCCCTCCTGACTTCAGCCTTCATGAAGAACCACTCCAAGAGCCCGGCACCAAACGCACCCCAAATATTTATTGAATGCCTACTGTGTGCCAGGGCCTGTGCCTAGGATGGGGCACTTAACTGGGAACAAGCAGACTTGGCTCCTGTTCTCGGGGAACTCATAGCCTGTGATCCCCCAGATGTCCTTGAAAGGTGATAAGTGCAATAAAGGGCAAGTTGAACGTGTGAAAAGGGGCCACCAGGAAAGGCTTCCTGGAGGCAGCAGCTTTGACTCAATCCAGCCATGGACCCAGTGCAACATGCCTGGATGCCTCTGTCTTGCATTCTCCCAGAAGAACTAGCAGGGACTTCACCCCCTTGGTGAGCCACCACAGCCTGGTGTCCCCTGGGAGCAGTGGTCAGAGGAGCCAACCTCCAGAGAAAGAGCAAGGGCGGGAGAGAGGGAGGTGTTCCTTCTGCCAGGTGCCTCCTGATGGTTTAGTGCTGTCATGAATCTCACCCTTATCTCTTGGATCTCCTGGGAATCTGCGAACTGGGGTTGGGTCCTGACACCTGTGATGAGCCATTGGGACTGGTGAGGAGTGTCCGCCCCTCCCAAGTCTCCCGCCCCCTCCTTCCCAGGCAGGAACCTGCCAGGCCTCCTCACAGGAGGAGAGGGAGCAGTGGGGAGAGGAAAAGGGAGGCCACTCCTGGTGCAGGCCAAGGTCAGGGCAGAAACCCTGACCTTGCTCAGCCATGAGGTCTCTCCTTCCAGGGACCCACAGGCCTTCTGCAGACACGGGGCAGGGTCCTTGCCTGGACCAAGGCGATGATATACCATCTGTTTCTTTCCTATGCTTGTGGGTAAGGGTAGGCTTTTCTCTCATTGTCTTTCATTTAAATACAACTAAACCACCAGCACCTTTGGAAGATCTATCTTGTCTCTGTGGAAGCCTTGTACTATGTCCCTTCTCTCAACACCCTCACTTCTCCCCCTCCTCCATACCCCTCTCTGTGGATGGAGCATTTGACGTAAGCAGAGACATAGGAAAGATACCAATTCACTATCAAAGCATCCTAGCCCCATCCCAGAGCAATTAAAAAGCCAGATGGAATCTCTGGGAAATCGGCATTAATAACGCGAACAATCTGTGCAGGCCGGCAGGGACCCAGGAGCCGCGGGCGGGGCCGGGAGGAGGCTGGGGTGCTGGAGCCTGAGCTCGCAGCAACGGCTCAGCCACGTTGTGGCCAGCTGGGGATGGGGCCATCGCAAGGGTCTGCCTAGGTCTGGCTGCAGCTGGGCTGTCCCCTCCAGCCCCGGCAAAGGCCCTCTGTGCATCCTGGATCCTGGTCACTGTGGACAGAGCCAAACAAATGTGGAACCCATTATTCAGGCAGCCACAGCCTCGGCCAGCCCCATTCTGGCACCCAAGAGCTTTGCTTCCCTTCACTTTTGTTTTTATTTATTATTTTTCTAGCCTTCTGGCCCCACCCACTAGGACCAGGCCTCCCTGGGGGGCAGCTGCCACACATGCCCTTTCTCTTCATGTGCTATGCCCAAGCCCACTGCCCAGAGCTGAGAACAGCAGGAGATGGTGTTGGGAACCCCGTGGGGCCTGAACCCCAGATGCTCCCCTTACATTACAGAATGCCAGGCACTTACTGCAAGCCCAGCAGAGCTCTCAGAAGCTGGCATGATTTCTAGAGAACCAGAGTGTAGGAGTCCACACCACCTGGCTGCCTTGAGGGGCCCAGAAGGGGCCAGTTGAGGGCCACAGGAAAAGAATCTTCTGCTCTTCTGAAGCCTTTTCTAGGCAGAGCCAAGAAGCCAGGCTCTTTCATAGCCCCATTTTTCAGACTGTGGTCTGGAGGCCTAGCTGGGGTGGACGTAGAGATATCGTTTTCTTATATCCACCAAATTGGGATGAGAAGTGGCTTGTTTTTAAAAACATCTTTTGTGAGTCTTACATACCCAGAGAGCCATTTTCTGACCTTCATCTTCCCTGCCTCTTTATCCCCACCCCTTCACCCTCACCCTCACCCTCCCTGGAAATTGTTCTCCCCAAGGCCACCGTGAGCTCCTGGAGCCGAATCACATGAACTCACCCAGGATCCTGACTTTCTTGGCCTCCTGCAGAATTGGGCCCTAACGGATGTCCAGTATCTGGCCCACAGCAAGTCTTCAGGATGCATGGGTCTCTTAGCAACTCATGTCTCTCCTTCTTTAAAAAACATCCTTACCCTCCCCCTTTCCATTCAAGGGTCCATTGGGTTGGCCTGAGGTGTACCAAGAAGGTGTCTGAGGGGCCAGGGTCACCGTTGGAGGAGGGAACATAAGAGCACCAGGAATAAGGGTCGTTCTACATGAGCCATGGCTTCTACAAATTTGATTTTAAAATGCAAGAATCCTAAAAAAGGAAACATCTCAAGTTCAAGATAACCCTCAATACCTCTGTATGATTTGTTTACCACCAGAACCAGGGTCTAGCCAGGCTCCAGCAAGATAGTCATGCTCTCAGGGAGCGTATACAGGGAGGAGGTGGGATATCCAGGAGGAGGGGAGAAGGTCAGTGAGAGGCCAGGCAGTAGGCCCCGAGGATGCCAGAGCTGCACAAGGCACAGGGCAGCTGGGGTCGCGACGTTTCTGCTATAAAGGTCTCTCAGGACTTTGTGCCTCCCAACTTGTGTCTCTCGAGGATGACTGGCAAAGTCCTAATTGAGGGACTATGGCCCACGGGTGGGAACATCAGTGGCCAAATATGGTGGACATGTCACCCTGTGACCCAGACAGGTCCTGAAGGGAACCATCATGGCCTGTTCCAAGCCCTCTAGATCTGAAAGTATTTCTGCTTCTTGTCAAGTGGCAGCCAATCTTTCACAAGACAGTCTCTCCTTCCTGAGCAGCTACTGGCCCTTCCCTGCCCAGCCATGGAGGCCGCAGACAGTCCCCCAACCTCCCCCTTGCGCCAATCGGAGCACTCTCTCTGGCAACTCCCAGGAATCCCCGCCACTATCGCTGGTGAGGAAATGTGGCTGATTATGGCAGCCTTTCCCTCACCCGTTGGGCAATGGTCTCAGTTAGACATGAGAGCACAATGCCTGCCCATGAATGGGGGCAAGGGAGTATCAGGGACGGGGTACCTGCCCCAGAGGGAGCCACTGCGACATTCAACATCAGGTTAGGGCCCGTCTGAAGTAGGCCTTGATGATTTACAATTTGCAAACACGTTTTATTTGATTCCTCAGTTTTGCTAGAGCAATTACAG